GGGCTGCAGCTATAAGTGAAGCAGAGAGACTTACACACAACAGCCAGGAGATTCGTTCGGACGCCTCCCACTGAGATGACTTTTGCGAGGTTCAGGCGGCTGGAGGCAGGGGCTGGGTCATTCTGAGTCTCCTGAGAGATGGAGCTTTTTCTGCACTCATAGCACGGGGCACATACAGAGTCTAATCAGGGTTCATGTCTCTCTACAAATGGGCAATACAGGCAGCCCTCGACATACGAACGCCCATGCTTACAAACCAGCTTCCATGAAATAAAAAAATAACTTTGACTTAAAATGCAAACTCGCAGTTGCAAACTGAACATCAGAACTATTTTGTTCAGAGGAGCAATCCTCCGCGAGATGTAATGAGTCGGTCTCGTGCTAGGAGTGTTTACGTGTGTACAGACATTGTGTGTGTGAAAGTGTGGGGGGTACAGCTGGTGCATCTACCAGTCATCTCAATCAAAGCCAAACCATGGCACCTGGGTTTGTCCCGAGACCTCCTGTCAGCGAACATTTGACATTTCACGTGGCCTCAAAGTGCACCTGGCCTGGTACAGGCGCCGTGGTGACGTCACAGTCACTTAGTGGTGAATGTTGAGTATTGGTATTGGTGTGGGGAGCGGTCGCATAGCGGTGAGTGCACTGCGCCACACCAGTACCTGGTGTACCTGGTGTGGTGGGTGAACATCGCCACCGGGGCGACAAAAGCAGCGGGCTGTGATGCTGGCCACCCACCCCCTCGTGTGCCACAGTGGCGGCCATCTTGGGCACTGCTCGCTGAGAGGACTTGCCAAAAACAGCCTGTTAAGGCTACATGGGGGATTATTGTCGTTGGGGTGTCTTTGTCGATGTGTGTGCATGCGTGTCACGTTTGTTGTGCTGACTAATTGCCAACCTTCCAACTGCAGGCTAGCATCAATGTAAGTGAAAATATAATTTGTTTTGTATTTGTTAATTTATTTAATGTTTAATTTACTATACAGGTTTTTTTTTACATTGTTAGATGCAAATGTACAACATTTTTTCTTAATTATAAGTTTAACAATGCTTAATTCTTTGTTGAACCCTAACACATTTTATAACCATGTCAGCATTTCAGTACGGTGCATTATTGTTTTCCGACTTATGAACCATTCGACTTACGAACGAGTCTCAGGAACAAATTATGTGCATAATCCGAGGACTACCTTTATGGGATACAATTGACCATATGGGGATACGACTGCATACAATTTGGTTTAATAGGAATCACATCACGACCGTTTGCTGATTTGTCCACCAGGTGGCAGACAGAGCTCGAGTTTGAGTCTGGGTTGTTACTGACCTGAAACTCTCATGCAGAGGATCCTGAAAAACACAAACCCGCATTTCAGATTAACATTGACATCTTAAACAGATGCCCCACCTCCACACAGTCGCCTGCTAATTAACAGTGGAGTGCGACATCAGGGAATTAGCAAATACCTGTACACAGAGAATGGTGAAAAACATGGTTCATTTAACTGGACACAGACGTATGTCTAAAAATTACAAAACCGCTCTTTACAGGCCTGGTCCAGCACCTACACGAGTGATTTAATAACGCGCATCAACTCGTGCGTTCAACTCTGAATAAATTTAACTTCTTAAAAATGTTACCAGGAAAAGCCCACTCAGCTATATCGCTCTTTTTCAGAAGCAACTTAGCCACAAATGACAGCTCAATAAAGGGGCTTATCAAGTGGAAATTTATAGCAGCTGCCTAATACTCTAAACACGTGATATTGATTCTAAACGTGGAGGGGATAAACTGGAGAATCCAGAGGAACATCTACGCCACCATGGGGAGAGAGAGAAGAAAAACGCAAACTCTAAATATACAGCAGCAGGCATCATCAGGGTTGGGGTCAAACCCACGACCTCTTGTATAGCAGGCGAGGAAGATGGCGATGTTGTACTGGACAAGTCCAGGTCTGAATGTCACACGGAAGCAAACGCGCGTCTATTTCTGGACACTACCGCTTGCTCCCAGATCATAAAACACTGAAATAAGATTGCCAACAATGTCAACGTCTCACAGGGTGGTGCGCCTCTCCTGGTTGTAGATAAACCCTCTTCTAATAAACCAAGGCTGTGAATATAAACTATTTTTTTATTTTACCACTTAAGGCTCTTTTTCAGAAGAAACCTTGCCACAAATGAAAGCTCAACAAAGTGGCTTATCGTATGAAACTGTATCGCAGCCAAATTCTCTAAATGTATGATTCTATATGTGGAGGGAAAACCCAGAGGACCCGGAGAAAATTCCACACGACAAGGGGGAGAGATACACGCAAACTCCAGATATACAGTATACGTCAGGGTTGGCATCGAACCCATGACCTCTTACATAGCAGGCGAGGTAGTTAACATCTCCGAGCCACCAGGGCGAGTGAATGGAGGTGGTGCCACCTGCAGGAAGGAGAGCGGGTCCTGCACGGCGAGGGCAGCGAGCAGCTGGTTGATCTCCTGCTCCAGGTCACGTGCTCTTCTATTGTAGTGATCGATGTCCGCCTGGATGCGGGACAGCACGGAGCAGCCCTCCTCGTCCACGCACTCCAGCGCCTCCCTCTCCTCCTCCCTCAGCCGCTCCCTCCGGCGGTCAAACTCTCGGCTGATCCGCACCTTGACCCCACGCACATACTCCTACACAGACAGTGCCGAATTGTTGAGTCACTTGTTAGGTAACGACGCAATGTGGTGTCGTACAGGCAATGATTGTTACCATTACCTCGATTATGTACACGGAGGATGAGCGACGTGTGCATTGGGAGCTCGTGAACATATATAGCACAGAGAGAATGAGAATGGGATGAAAGGGGTAATGTCATAGGCAATGGTAGTATATGAATAACTTCTGTCTGTAGCTACACGTTGTTGAGTGTCTTTCTGGGGGAAATTAAATACATCTCTATGGGTATCATTCACATCTGTTTGTCTGTCCGTCCCACTAGATCTACCAAACGAAGCGTCGGAGGGAAATGCGAATTAAATTAAAACCAAGTCTCTTGCCGAGGACATTCCCAGGAAATTGTGTGAAACGTTTGCGAATATACAGAACAAATTCACGTGGCATTGCTCTATTGTTTTAAGCGAAATTATGCTGAAATAGACAAACTATGCTGATTTATAAGGCAATACTCACGTCGACTCTCCCTTGCACTCAGGCTAAGTTGGTGCTGTCCAGATTTTGGGGGTCAGAAGGGAGGAATCGCAACCTTCCATGGCAAGCATCGTGGTTGTGATCAATAAAGGAATCGATAGGGCAAGTCGCCAACGCATCGTCCAGCGCGGATCGATTCCATCCCCTCCTAAACCAAAACTGCTGTCATGTTGGAAGTTACGTCATAAATGAAGTTTCTGTGTAATTCCGTGGAGACCTTCTCATCACGTCGTAAACGTGTGTTGCAAATTGGGTCATCCTAAACCGGTTGTAATGTTTTCCACATTTTTTTCCTGATGTGTAAACATACACGAAAGCAATATATTTCATAGAAGATTAAAGTTTCAGAAAAGTTATGCGCTCAAAAAGTGGGCTTTAAAAAACTTTTCAGATAAACACAGCTACGAACTCACACTTTGCTCCGTTACAATTTGATGTCGTTTATTTTGTAGACTGAAAGTAGGCAGCCAGCGAGTTGTCATTGGGAAACGATTCGCTTAAAATCCACACCGCTTGCAATTCACCAAATTTATATCCAATGCCAACGTGTGGGGCAGTGCTCGTCAATGATAAGAGCGAAGTTTAATAATAAACCCTAAGGTTTAATGAAATACGATTTGTAGGCAAACCTCCACGCGCCGGTAGTCATCCCTGAGCGTCCGTGTCCGTGACGCCGCCGTGTTCCTCTTCTCTTCTCTCCCCTTCTTCTGGACTAAGAGCTCCTCCTGCGTTGTGGCAGATAAATAAATAAATACGCGGTACTCGCCATTGCCATTGGTTGGATCACTGATAAATCATCATCCCGCATCTCCCCGATTAATACGGATGACTACAAAAGAAGTTAAAAACGTATAGGAATAGGTTTTACCCTTTTAACTGGCACAAAAACTGACACCTTTATTCAAGGCATCATGTTTGCAATAACCATAACACAAGCAGTCAGAATGCAAACAAAAAAGACAACTCTGATAATAATATGCACTGTCCTTGAATTTGATTGGTCCACACCCGAGACAGCTTTTCTTAGAGCCTAGTCTCCATTGGTGTTGGACCAGAAGACGCCAAAAGGCGTACAACTCAAAAACAGCGCACTATCAGAGTATTGAGGGCTCGGGGTGAGCATTTACATTGAGACCTCCTTTGCCAGAAACAAGATATAGGAATAGTATAATGTAAATGCTCACCCCGAGCCCTCAATACTCTGATAGTGCGCTGTTTTTGAGTTGTACGCCTTTTGGCGTCTTCTAGTCCAACACCAATGGAGACTAGGCTCTAAGAAAAGCTGTCTCGGGTGTGGACCAATCAAATTCAAGGACAGTGCATATTATTACCAGAGTTGTCTTTTTTCTTTGCATTCTGACTGCTTGTGTTGTGGTTATTGCAAACATGATACCTTGAATAAAGGTGTCAGTTTTTGTGCCAGTTAAAAGGGTAAAACCTATTCCTATATCTTGTTTCTGGCAAACGAGGTCTCATAAGTTCAAAACGCATACACACCACATCTGTTGTCATATTTCTGCATACGTCTCCCCGAATAATTTAATGGGAACTACCATGGGGCAATACAATATCCTGTGAGATAACATCGACAAATATCATGTACATTCTAAAATATGTTTAAACCTCTTCAAGTTATGGGTGTAGTGGCTTATCGCAATCATAACGTTTCTCACTTAATCAAACTCATATTTTGAATTATCATGCAAAATATGATTTGACATGCTGTCAAATGTTGACTGGGCTTAAACCATCAACTCAATAAATATGAGAATCCAGTTAAAACCATGGCGACCGACTAGATTCCAATTCAGCATTAGCATTCCGACATCTGAGCCTCCCTGCTACCTCTACCTGGGTCTCCCTGTAAAGGGGCGTTTGGTCTCAACAGGAGCTCACCTGCTCGAGGTGAGGGGTAATGACCTGCTGATGTGAATCTCTCAACCTCCTGTAACAATGTGGATTACAACAGAACATGACACTTCACCTGTCTTGTCTGTTGTGCTTTTTCCACCGTGATGACCCTGTGCCTGGAGTGGTCTCCTGCCACGGGGCAGACTGGGCAGACCGGGCTCTCGTCCTGCACACAGTAAAGAATGAGCTCCTGTCTGTGCTCCCGGCACCGTCGCTCCTCCAGGTTCGCAGTGGGAGACACCAAGACGTGGTCTCTCAGCCTGGGATTCTCTACATGAGGCCTCGCGTGCATCGCACAGTAGGACATCTCACATCTTAGGCAGGTCTGCACTGCAGGAGTGTGGCCATCACTGCAGATGTCACACATGACGACGGCTACGGCCATCCCGTCTCCAACTCTGAGCTGCTCCACCAGTTTCCCGAGGGCCACGTTCTTCATCAGCTGAGGTCGCACAGGGAAGGTCGCTCGGCACTGCGGGCAGCTGAAGCTGCTCGCCGTCTCCCAGGTGGCCTCCAGGCACCGGATGCAGAACGAGTGTCCGCAGCTCAGTGTAGAGGGGCAGTCGAACGTGTCCAGGCAGATGGGGCAGCGCAGCTCACTATCCGCACTCTCACTTGGAGTCGCGCTCGCCATGACCCATTGGCTTCGCTGTGATCGCTCGCTGTGTGGCTCAGAGAGACGCTGGACCAGGACCTCTCTCTTATAGCGACGGTGAAGGAAGTAAAATGCTTACAATATTTTAATTGTCGTCACTGACATCACGAGACACTGCCTGGAATGTGAACCCGCGCCCCGAGGTGCGCAAACAGCAGCCTAAACACGGATACTGTACACACCGCTACATGAACAAAATGTATCAGAGGAACTTAAAAAAAAAAATTAGTTGCTAATATAAGTCGTAGAGGTTCAGCTGTGATGGCTGATTCGTGAAATGAGCATCGAGAGATAAAGTTATCCTTCCAAAGCTTAGCGCACAAGTTTATGTCTATGGTAAGACAGAGCAATGGGTTGCATGCCACAGTCTCTAGGAGAAGTTATCACTCTCGCCTTATGACTGCTTTATATTTAGAGTTTGTGTCTCTCTATCTGTCTCCCCTTGATAGCGTGAATTTGTATCTGGGTCCTCCGATTGTCCCCTCTACATTTATAATCAACATCACGCGTTTTTAGTTTTTGGCTGCAATCAATTTCCACACAAGCCGCTTCATTGTGCTCTCATTTGTAATAGCCAGGTCGCTACTGACAAAGAGCCACATAGCTCAGTGAGCCTTGCCTGGTAAAATTTAAAAGTTTGTGTAGTTTTAGATATCTCATGATGTCCTGTAATTCCATCTTTGGGTAATTGGCTCAATGCGATGTGTTGCTTTAATTTCATTGTGGCATCCGAGATGGAATTTGTCTGTAGACTCCCGTGACCCATCCTGGAATCTTGAGCCTTTTGCTAGCCGTGTGAATCTATCACCAACTCTACCTGCCTCCATCACCCACTGCTGGCAGTCACTGCCTCTCACTCTCAACTTGTCCAAGACTGCAGATCCCCGTCCCAATCATTCACAGACGCACCCACTGCTTATTTCACCTGGGTTATTTCCCAATCACACGCACAGCTATTAAACACGTGTCCCCCATCCATCTTTCTACAGCCCAACCCCACCCCAAGTGCTCCGGTCTTTTCTTATCGCACCACGCTGCTCCTCGGGCATGTTGAGGCACAGCGTGGTGCGATGCACAGACGTCGTGGCAGCTAAAAAAGCTTGACGGCCTCTCCTCAACAACCAGAAAATTTCTTGATTTGAAGCTTTCCTGACTGCAGGAATCCATACTCTTTGGTTATTTCGGTAAAGTCACGATGTTTCTGGCGCAACACAAGCGTCCGTCATCTCCACCTGATGATGGACGCGGTGCCTCTACCGAGGTCAAGGGTCGCCAACCAAAATAAAAAAAAATAGTTCTACCTGATGACGGTTGCTTGTTTTGCAAATCGAAACGTCGTACTCTATTATTTTATTTATTTTCTCTAAACGTGACTTTACCAAAAGAACCAAAGAGTAATTCCTGCAGCCACGAAAGCTTCAAATCAAGTACAAAATAACAAGAGCCATTTTTTTTCGAATTCGGTAAAAAACTAAAATATTTCCAGAGTTGCTGTCACAATGCATGTGAATATTAGACATAGATTTGGAACTTCTTTCACATCGTACGTAGCCAACCGCGATTTTTGGTGGTGCAGGGGAAGGACAACAAACTAAACACACCTCAGAAGCAGTTCTAAAGAAATTAGTTTGTAAATTCTTATGATTTAAAAGTACCATAGCTCCAGTGGCTTCCTGACCGAAACTGATCAGTCTTGCGCTTAGGCAACAGCGGTTCGGATGCGTTGTGCATGGATTGAACGGGTGGCAGAACCGGCGAGACCTGTATTTCTGTATGGGAGTGTTTTTTTTTTTTTGCAATCAGGTTAATGTGTTGCATTTTGAAGGCATTTTTAATTTTTGTATTCTCCATGATGCTCATTTTTTTTTCTACGCGTCAATCGGCACCCTGAACACCCTTAAGTTAATGAGAGGTTCCATCTGAGGGGACATTTCCCAGGTTAAATATTGGAATATTTTTACCACGGGCCACCCTCACTGCTTTGGAAATGGTGGTCGTGCAATGCGTGGTTAACTTGCATAGGGGCCAAAAAAAGTTGGCTCAGCTTGTGCCAAATCAAATTACATCCGTTAAGGAGCACAGAGTTATGCGATGGAAAAAAATGTCGTTCTCACAAAGACAAATTGCCCACCAATCGCACCCATTTGTATTTTTTAAACTGTTTCTCTAATTTGTATTTATTTTATTTACGAAGTATATATCTTTCACGCTATATATTCGTTGCATATGGTTTAACTTTATTTTGCCCATTCGGGCACTGTGGTCGTGACTGGATTTTTTCAATTTTGGTTTTACTATGCCCTCGATACCGTCTCTGTCCTGCTGTAACGTGCAGCGATGCCTAGTTTAGTGAGGGCGATATTTGCACGTGGAATAAAGATCGATTAATCCACATTTTGGGGCAGCGAGGTGGCCTTGCGGAAGTTCTTGCCACTCCGTTTCAGTGGTTCCACGACTGCGGGTGCTGTCACCGTCACTGCTCTGTCTACTGCACAGTCGACGTTCACCATCCTCCGAAGGGTAGGCCCCATTGGGACCGAGTGTCATTTTTCCAAATTCCAAAAATGACACGGCAAATTATTTCCCATTTTTATTTTACGAGGTAAGAGCCACTGAGCTATATAGCTATTTTTTAAAGCAACCTGGCTATCACATATGATAGCACAAAGAAGTGGCTTATCATAATGTGGACATTTACAGCAGCCAATTACTCTAAATATGGAGCGAAAAACCTGAGGAATCCAGAGAGAAATCCACATGACCAGGGGGAGAAAGAAAAGATGCAAAAAACAAATATACCGGCGTCAGGGTCGAGATCGAGCCCACGACCTCGTCCATACCAAGCAAGGGAGTTAACATCTCACCACCACGGCGAGATGTTATCTCAATTGTGATTGCACACAGCAGCTGCAATCACCGCCTGCTACTGGCAGACTCCTGCACCAGTTCAAGCTTGCAGATGCGACTCATTCTGGTCTCTCCAGTTCTCGGTGGGTTAAACTTTGAATACCTATACACGTACCCACCTATTGACGATCAGAAATAAATCAAGGGGGTTAACGAGGCAGAGTTGATGAGGGGGGTTCTAACAACATAATTAGACAGGGGACAGGTGAAGTTGCCTGAATAGTTCCAGATATTGTGGGTATAGAGGCTACAAGCATAGCCACCAACCTGGACTGACGTAGACACCCACACGTGCATAGACTCACTGAAAAGAACAAGTCTCCAAGATCCACTCAGAGGAACCCGTAGACTTGTAGAGACCAATTGATGAACACTGCAGTGGAGCATCAGCGCATGCTGGGAGCAATGAGTTATTGGAGTGGAACGAGCAGGCTGGAGGCAACGGTGGTTGGCTTCATTCGGATCGCTCGCTGTGTGGCTCAGAAAGATGCTGGACCAGGACGGTGTAGACGGGAGTAAAATACTTTAAATGTTTTGATTGTCGTTATTGACATTGAGACTGCCTGGAATGTGAACCTGCATCCTATGTGCACAAACACAATGCACACGGCGACTCTACACACCTGTTGGAATTTAACTTTAATGAACATAATGTATCAAAGGAATCTACTTTTTAGAAAAACGCATTAAATGAAAAAGAACGCTTAAAGAAATAAGTTGTTATTGTTGATATTGTAGTGTTTATAATGACGAATAAACTTATGAGGCACACTCTGTTTATTGTAATACTTCTCTTTACACAGTCCTTAGCAAACAGAGGGGTATACGGTCCCCTCACCTGATACCCTAAGAAGGTACAGCCTCCGGACTTAGCGTGACCTACACACAGGTCTTTTCCTAACCTAAGGAGGAACAGCCTCCTATCTTGGCGGGACTTACTCACACGTCTACCGCTATCCTAGAGTCCTCCGGCTGGGACCTAGGGGAGGCTATCTGACCCACCGCTGGCCCGGCTGGTCTTGACCACTGGATACGCCGAGCCTTAGCCTTCAGAAGGGCTGGAAGGCTGGGTCCACGGTCCTGGCTATCTTCAGCCCGGGCTTCGGTCTTCGTGTAGGGAGAGAACTCCCCGCGCTCTGCGCGGTCACCCTTCTTATACCCGTTTGTGGCCAGGTGTAACCAATCCCACATTCCCACGTGGAACTGTCTGATTGGTTCTTACCAAACTGTGGCTACGATCCACTTCACCTCGTCTGACCCCAACCGTTATGTACACAGAGGTAACGCTGCACTGCCCCTTTGATACCTAGTGACAATGCAGGTTACCCAACAGTGAGAAGTTAACACCTCTACATCACCACCTCCTTCGGAAAATCCATCCGTCCTGGCTGCAACAATGTGCAACTCCAAAATTATCAACGATGGAAGAATGGTGAGTGTGCCTCGCGAACAACAAGAACAGAAAAAAACCCATGTAAATACCCCCCTAACAACACAGCGTATGTACAAGGCAATCAGTCATGACACCGAACATACACACGATGTGATAGAGCAGGCGGCGAGTGTAGCAAAACCGATTAGGAACCGAGAACGTGTCAGCAAGGAAGAGAAGCATCATGAAAACCGGCGAGATTTAGCGCACGTGTGTTTTGCAGAGCCATCGTAGGGGATGATAGGCTTCGTCGGCGGCACAGGAGGAGCAGGAGTATGAACAAGAGCGTCAGGTGGGTCATGAGGTGGGTCTTGAGGCATCTCCACGAGGATACCTGACGATCCATGGTCCATCGAGGCCAAACGTGGCCTGCACAGAGCTGTCACTCCCTTGTCATCTGCAGGAGGAATGACACGCCTGCGCTGTGGGTTAGGCACCAATGGGGCAACATCTGGCTCGTCGGACGCGTCGCACACTCGGCCCCCGTGTTGTGTGTGTGTCGCAGGCGTGCACGGCGTGATGAAGGGTTTTAACCGAGAAGGGTAAACGAACCAGTGACGCCGTCCCCAGCGAATTTGAATACATTGGGGACGCAGGACCTCAACCACCTATACCGGACCCCGCCATGGCCTGAGGAGTTTTTCCGATGTGGACACCGGCACCTGGGGGCAGTGAAGCCATGCCCTGTCTCCTGGTGCCCACCGATGCGTGGACGTGTTTTGACCGACCGTCTGTGTTGATTTATATGGTTTCCAAATTTTGCTAAACCCTGTTTGTTTGGTGTGATTCTCTCTCTGTTTCCCCTGTTGTATCTGTGTTAGTTCCCGAAACTTAGGTGTCCGTATATGCATCTGGGGTTATGTGTTTCCTCTCTCTCGTAAATTTAGCTCTTCTGCACCTGATGATGGCTGCTTGTGTTGCAACCGAAACGTAGTACGCTATTATGTTTATTTATTTTTTCTTATTTATTATTTATATGTGACTTTACCGAAAAAAACAAAGAGTAATTCCTGCAGTCACGAAAGCTTCGAATCAAGTCTAAACCACCTCTACGGGGAGGTATGAGGTCTGTGTCTTTGTGTTGTCTCTGCTTGTGTATCTGCCTTTGTGTCTTGGCTTGGATTTGTGTCTCTGTGCTGTCTCTGCCTGTGTGTGGGCCTTGGTGTTTCCGAGTGTGTGCTGCTGCTCCACACTTTCCGCACCCCCCTTTGCTCCATGCACACCTCATGCTAATTTGTCCCATTGTCTCTCAGCCTTACCTTCTCTGCCTATTTAAGGCGATTTCACTCTGTGCTGGTTCGCTCTGCTTGGATGTCTATGTGTGTGTGTGTGGTCTGTATTTTAAAATTTCATACTTAACTTGCAATTTAGCAATCTTTGAAATAGCGTAATCAACCAGACTATGCGTTAATTGTGTTGTGACCGACCGTCTGTGTTGCATTATATGGTTTCCAAATTTTGCTAAACCCTGCTTGTTTGGTGTGATTCTCTCTCTGTGTCCCCTGTTGTATCTGTGTTAGTTCCCCCTACTTGGGTGTCTGTATATACGTCTGGGGATATGTGTTTGCTCTCTCTTAAATTTAGCTCTTCTGTACCTGATGATGGCTGCTTGTGTTGCAACCGAAACGTCGTACGCTATTATG